TTATTATACACATCAGGACAAATAAAAAGATCAGATTCATGTAAACAAGAAAAATACTGTATATAGTTTACAGTATACCAAATTTCACAAAAACTAGTACAAATGAATTATTCAGGCATATCTCTTTTCTAATTCTTATTATTATGTAGTCTTCAAATTATTTAAAGGTAATTCTGATGGATTTGAGAGAAAGATTGTAGAAATAAATTGGAATCTTTAAGTAAACAACAGGCTAGCACGAGCTAACATGTTTTACTTTTTGTATTAGTAGTATTAATTACATGTTTGCATACAAATTGATTTCTGTTGTGGATATAAAAACAAACAAACAAAAGCAGTCTGTTATGTTTGGTCACATTTTCAAAGAGCCACTGCAGAGGGACCAAAGAGCCACATGTGGCCCCAGAGCCGCAGGTTGCAGACCCCTGATCTAGCCTTTTACTAGACTACATTTTATACATTTAGCTACATTTAGCTTTTAGCTACCCTGTTGCTACTTTTAGATAACCTTCTGATAGTTTATCTAACTTGTTCAAGCTAGTATTTTACTTCTTTTAGCTTTTAGCTAACCTATTGTTACATTTAGCTTCTTGCTACCCTGTTGCTACTTTAGATCAAGGGTTCTCAAGCCATTTGTGTCTGGGGACCCCTTACAAGTGCAAAAAAGATTCCAGGGACCCCCTCATAAACCCCATGCTGTTTTAAAATATAATTTATTGTCATTTCAACCTCTAAATGCCATGGGAATATGTATTTTTATTAAGTTTATTATATTTGTTTTATTAGTTCATTGTTCTCCATGCATTTTTAATTAAAAAAACAAATTAACAATTTTTTGAGGACCCCCAAGATACCCTTCGTGGACCCTTGAGGGTCCTGGGACCCCAGTTTGAGAACCTATGCTTTAGATAACCTTCTGGTATTTTTATCTAACCTTTTATTCAAGCTAGTATTTTACTACTTTTAACAGGTTTTTAGCACTTCTTTTTACTTTGGGATATTCTGCATCCTTAATTTTAACTCAGTTTCAGCTCTTACAACAAATTTCAGCAGTGGTCATCAGCATTCACACATGATTTTACAGGAAACATTTTTTCATAATTTTTCTTATGTGAATTATAATTTTTGCCCATCTTTCCTTTATTTGTGCTCTCAGATGTTTAATATTTCAGATGTATGGAGAACTCTTCCTCTTCTTCATAAAGAACCCAGTGCAAAAACAGAGAGATATATATATATAGTATATATGTGTGTGTGTGTGTGTGCGTGCGTGCGTGCGTGCGTGCGTGCGTGCGTGTGTGTGTGTGTGCGTGAAGTCCCAGATGGTTTGACTGTGGAGATAGTTCTTGTCATGAACAACATTAATCCTCGTTTCTCCCCACTCTTTCCTCCGTCTGCGTCCCTCTCCAGGGGAGCGCTGCGAGCTGTCGTCCCGCTCGGGCCGCTGTGCTCCGGGAGTCTGCAGGAACGGCGGGACCTGCATCAACCTGCTGGTCGGTGGCTTCAAGTGCGAGTGTCCACCGGGCGGCTACGAGAAGCCCTACTGCGAGATGACCACTCGCAACTTCCCTCCCAACTCCTTCCTGACCTTCAGGGGTCTGCGCCAGCGTTTCCACTTCACCCTCTCACTCACGTAAGCACCCACACCCCACATCTCCTCCTCCTTTGTTGAGTTGCAGCGATCTGTGYTTTTCACTCAGCCTACCCACACATCCTCTCTCAGCACGCTCTCACCTCCACAGTTTTTTTTTTTTCTGGCAGTTAGGATCACTGACAGCCACTCTAGAATCTGACTAAAGCCCTGGCACTTCAGCAGATGAAGTGTTAGATGTTTATTTAGCACAGGTTTGGAGTTATTCAAGCAAATGAAGACGTTGTGCTTTTGGAGAGGAGGTATTCATAACAAGAGAATGTTAATCTCATAAAGTCAGGTTTTATTACAGTCACTGAGTCACTCAGAGCTGTGAGTCAGAGTTTGGCCTATTTCAGCTCAGTTCTTCCTCAGCAGGCTGAAGACTGACAGAAGCTGTGTGATGGAGARGCAGCATCATTACTCCCCAGTAGTTTTAAGTTTAGGAGTCTAGTGCTCTAGTTTTGCCCCTCTGTAGTTAACTCTGAAAGAAAAGAAGTTCTCGTCACCGTCCACTGTAATGTGTTTGTGTCTGTTAGCAAAATATCTCATGAACCACAGAATGGATCATCACAGCTAATCGACCAGCAAACACCAAAATAGTCAAGCTGATATTGAGAATTTAGTAACAAAGTAATCATGTTTTTATTGTTGTGGTTGAAAGGATGTTAAAAGGAGTATGAAATGATTTCCTCATCTTTCAAATGAATTTTCTGTTGTCCTGTTTGCTCTGTTTAAAGTCTCAACAACCACACGGCAAGCCTTTAGATGTGAACTCGTTGTGATTCTGCGCTCTGCAGCAGTAGAGTCTCTCACCGGCTGCTGGTAGAAATAATATCCCCTCAGCTTTAGAGGCTCAGCCCTTCTTTAAGCGAGGATCAGGTGACGGTCCCTTTTTGATGAGGAACTGCTCAGACCAGTTCTGAAAGCCGACTGCGTTTCAGTGTCGGCTTGGAGAAGCTGTGAAGTAGCTGCGCTGTAAAAGGTGCCGATTTTGGCAGCGTGAGCTCGGCGAGGTTAACCTCAGAGGCTCCGTTACCTGACCTGCGCAGATCCGGTTTCTCTCAGGGACAGGGTCTGTTGGAACAAACGACTCAGGAAACGGAGCATGCTCACTCAGTAGATCTTTACACCAACTTAATAACAAGSTTTAAACAAGTATTGATCAAAGAGATAAGTTAGTTTGGTTGTGTTTCTTTACTTATCTTGATGTTTATTATTTTAAGTATCAATTATTCAAATAATATGTCAATAATTCTGGGTGTAAAATGATGACACATCAAACAGCACAAACTAAAACATTG